CAGCCTGGTCCACATAGTGAGTTCCAGGACAGCTGGGGCTACAGGGAGACCCTGTCTCAAAAAGACCAAAAAAAAAAAAATCAACATTTTGATACATACATTTAGAATGAAATGTTAAGGACTGGGGAGATGGCTCAGTGGTTAAGAACACTGGCTGCTCTTGCATAGAACTTCAGTTCCCAGCACCCACATGGCAGCTAACAACCACCCATAACTCCTGTGCTAAGGGATTTGACACCCTCTCTTTTAACCTCCAGAGGCAGTGCACACACATGGTGCACTTACATACATGCAGGCAAAATATTCATACACATAAAATAAATCCAAAACAAATTCTTTTTTGTTCTTTTTTGGTCCTTTTGAGACAGGGTCTCTCTGTAGCCCCAGCTGGTCTGGAATTCACTATTAGATAGGCTAACCTTGAACACACAGAGATCCACCTGCTTCTGCCTTCCAGGTCCTGGGATTAAAGGTTTGCGCCACTACACTCTGCTTAAAAATTTTTTAAAATAAAGTGACATTTTACATACTGTTTTTTTCTGCAACAAAGTATTTGGCCCTACAAGAGTAGGTCAGCTTAGAACCTGTATCATGTGAGACCCTGGCATTCTGATAGAGACTCTGCCAAGATTGGACGGTGAAATGAGACAGGCTCAGTGGATCTGCTGTGCTCTGAAGACAATGCAGACCCACAGGTGCCCTGTGGATTGATGGCTTTATTTTGGCACAGATGCAGACAAAAAAAGCATTTGATTCAAGCCTTCAAATGAGGTAATAAGGCAACTTTAAAGCAATGATTTGGGCCTGGCTCAAAAACCAGTAAGAAGTCAAGCATGATAGTGCATCCTAGTAACCCCAGTACTCGGGAGACTGAGGCCAACCTGGGCTACATAGTGTCAGGCTACATACAGAGATCCTGTCTTTAAAAAAGAAAAGCATTCCCGGGTGTGGTGGCCTGTAGTCTCAGCACTTGGGAGGCAGAGGCAGGAAGATCTCTGTGAGTTCAAGGCCAGCCTGGTCTATACAGTGAGTTCCAGGACAGCTGGGGCTACAGGGAGACCCTGTCTCAAAAAGACAAAAAGGAAAAAAAAAAAGCATTTAAAATGTACTGAGTGCCAGGCTCTGCTCTTTGTTGTTTTGTTTGCTGATGAGATACAGATGCATTGCTATCACATTCAGCTGGAAGCAGTTTTAAGCACTTCACCAGACGAGTTCACTCAATACCCACAGCTACCCCGTGAGACAGGGACTGCAGATACAGATGCATTGCCACTCAGCTGGAATTTTTTTTTTTTTTTGGTTTTTTTGAGACAGGGTCTCCCTGTAGCCCTAGCTGTCCTGGAACTCACTATGTAGACCAGGCTGGCCTTGAACTCACAGAGATCGGCCTTCCTCTGCCTTCCAAGTGCTGGGATTAAAGGCATGCGCCACCATGCCTGGCCTTCACTAGACAAGCTCACTCAATACTCACAACTACCCCATCAGAGACCGTGGCTGTTCTCAGGAGACTGAAACACAGTGTTCAGTTACCTGCTCAATGTCCCACAGCTAATCAGTTGCAGAGCTGGGCCTTACACACAGTTGATGGGACCCTGGGGTAGTCCTCTTAACCACCATGCTGGCTGTAACTATGCACTGCTTAGCTGAGCTAAAGGAAAACTCTGAGTAGCACCTCACAGGCAGCTGCGAAACTACATGGACAGAATGCCAAGCAGAACTGCTGACCGGCAACCCAGAACCACAGGTAACTAAATAAAAACAAACCTTAACGTTAAACATGCTCTACTGGCTATTTACAATACACTTCATATATTCACTACAAAGGACTCTTTTATTTTTTATTTTTATTTTGTGTTTATGAGTGTATTGCCTGCATGTAGGCAGGTGACCCTACATGTACCATGCCCTGCAGTGCCCACAGAAGTCAGAAGAGGGCATCGGATCCCCTGGAACTGGAGTTACGGACAGTTGTTAACCACCATGTGGGTGCTAGGAATTGAACCCAGGTCCTCTGCAAGAACAGTCAATGCTCTTAATGGCTGAGCCATCTCTAGCCCCTCATTACAAAAGAACTCTTATATCAATAGTAAATGTAAGCTAATTTATAAGTAGGAAACAGACAACTGTTGATCTCTACTCTATATTGTGTGTAGACAGGTTTGATTCACACAAAACCTAAAGTATCAGGTCACCAAGTACCTGACACCTATTAAATAAATTAACATCAAAAGACAGAGTCTTTTTGTTGTTTCTTTGTTCTGAGACAGTATCTCACTGTAGTTGGTCTGAAACTAGCTATGTAGACCAGGCTGGCCACAAACTCAGGGATCCGCCTGCCTCTGCCTTATGAGTGTTGGGATTAAAGGTGTGCATCACCATGCCCAGCTACAGTAATGTTCTGAAGCTAAGATATAAAAACCAATAGTTAAAAATTTTAAGTCATAACACAACATACAAAATGATTTAATCAGCTTTTTTTCTGAAATATATCTCTTCTTTAATGGGAGTTGTTTTAGAAACAGGCCAAAATTTCATAGGAAGATTAAGACCTGGGCCCCCCTCCACCCCTCATGAGAAGTCATTTCGTTAGGACTGATGATCTCAAATGTTAACAGGAAACAAATGAGTCAACTCTGACAATGAGAGGCAAACTGTGATATAAAGAATAAAGAAAGGGAGGAGCATTCTGAGAAGTTCCACTATGACATGATGGAACTGTCACAGGCCTTATTATCTTCTATCTCCTAAATAGAGCCATCAACAGCAAAAAGGTCACCTCAAAGAGAACACTATGACATTTAAGTGGCTAGATTGCTTTCCATCTTCGCTTTCTCCTCAGCTCTTGATACTGTTGTCAAATTCTACACACTGGCAAAGAAAAAAGGGGTGAAAGTTGAGGGATTTTACAGAGAAACGATGAAAAGTTTGCTGTGGTTACTAGAACTAATCTATATGGCCATTAACACCATCTTAAGTGTCTGGGACACGTGAACTATCCTTGGATGCCCATGTGAATCCTTTTTGGGGGATCTTTTTGAGACAGGGTCTCCCTGTAGCCCCAGCTGTCCTGGACCAGGACTATGTAGACCAGGCTGGCCTTGAACTCACAGAGATCCACCTGCCTCTGCCTCCCAAGTGCTGGGATTAAAGGCGTGCACCACCACACCCGCCGCCCATGTGAATCTTAAAGTGCCATCACAGTAACTGAATGGGCTCTATGACGTTTTAGCGGGACATTTTCTTCTACCTCAGTCCCATCCTAGGAAGTAAACCCACTTCACTTTATAAAGCCATTGGGAAAAATCTGTTCCTTGCTTTTAGAGGCAACGTCAACAACAAATAACTAAGCTTCTTAAGCTTGCTGTATCTACTTCTTGGCTCAAAAGCTTCTCCTTAGCTTTATACCATGGGGCATTCTGCTGGAGTACACACAAGGATGCAGCCACTGGAAGGCTGGGAAGAGGGCACCCAGGAACTTAGGCAAACCACAGGTTTTCCCCTATTGACCCAAATGCTGCTGAGCCTCAGCAATGGGTCACATGTACAGAAGCCTTTCTATGGCAGTAGGGACTATAGGCACCAATTTTTTTTTTTTTAATTTTAAAATTTTGAGATAAAACTCATAAAAACTCATTAAAGTGGCCAGGCGTGGTGGTGCACACCTTTAATCCCAGCACTTGGGAGGCAGAGGCAGGCGGATCTTTGTGAGTTCAAGGCCAGCCTGGTCTACATAGTGGGTTCCAGGACAGCTGGGGCTACAAGGAGACCCTGTCTCAAAAAGACAAAAAAAAAAAAAAAAAAAAAAAAAAAAAAAAAACCAACTCATTAAAGTGCACATTGGGTAGTTTCAGTACATTTATCATCTGGCTAGGCATGTGCTCAGTTGGTAGAGTGCTTATCTGGCATGTATGAAGCTCTTGCTGGGATACCCAGAGTCACATGCACTACATTAATACTGTATAGTAATCCCAACAACTCTGGAGATGAAGATGAGAGAATCAGAAGTTCAAAGTCATCCTTGGTGGCAGAGCAAGTATGAGACCAGCCTAGGCTAGCTGAAACAATGGCTCAAAAAGAAAGGGGGGCACAGTGGGGGAGATGGGGGAGAAGGACCCTGAAAACACTTTCTTTGAAAAAGTCATAATCGTAACACATCATAAGCTAATTTAAAAGGGGCTGGAGTGCTGGTTAAAAACTCTGGTTGCTCTTGTAGAAGACCCTGGTTAGGTCCCAGCACCCAGAAGGCAGCTAATTGCCATCTGAAACTCTAGTTCCAGGGATCTAATGCCCTCTTCTGGTCTCCCCAGGCACTGCATACATGTAGTACACTTACATACATGCAGGCAAAACATGCATTACATATAAAACTAAAAAGATAAAAATAAGGGCTGGGAGTGATGGCACACAACCTCAATCCCAGCCCTCAGGATACAGAGGTAGGTGGATCTCTATGGCTTCAAAGCCAGCCTGGTCAACACAGCAAGTCCCAGACCAGCCAGGGCTACACAGTCAGACCCTGTTTCAAAAACTAAAAGTTAAGCTGGTTGTAGAGGTGCACACCTTTAATCCCAGCACTTTGGAAGGCCGAGGCAGGTGGAGCTCTGTGAGTTCAAGGCCAGCCTGGTCTATGTAGTGAGTTCCAGGCCAGCTGGGGCTACAGGAAGACCCTGTCTCAAAAAGACTAAATAAATAAAGTTAAAAATAAATAACTTTTTTTGGAGAAAAAGTATAATCATCATCACTGACCCCCAGAACGCTCTGTGGTGTCAACACACACCCTGTGCTCATTATCACATGCATTGACTTTACCCATATTTTTTCCAGGTGTCTCTTTTGCCAGGAATTTTAGGAGGATTGGCTCGGGCAAAGCTAGAGTATCTCTGTGATATAGAAACAGGCAGCTGCATGTCTGGAGGACACCAAACTAACATTCTTGGTATTTTTAGCAGTTAAGCTAATACAATTTTTACATATGTGCTAAAAATGGCAGAGAAACTTACATTGAACATCCATCTTCACTTAACACAAATTCATCCATGTTACAAGAAGAGAGGACAATCTACTAGGGTTAGCCACGACTGTCCACAGACACAGAAGTGTGTAGTGGAAAACCTCCTTTAGCTGGATTAAAGAACAACAACAACAAAACAAAAACTATAATCATTAAGCAAGTATTGTCCAGTTTGGGGAAATAATCACCAGGCCAGTCCACTACTTAAAGCAGGGTTGCTCTATGTGAAAACTTGTTTTCCTTACTCTTCTGACCTAGTATCTCTGACAAGAACATAACCTTTAGGGAAAAGTCTGGCAAGAAAGCCTACAGATGGGTGCTGCTCTTGCTACTGCAGGCCCTAAGTGTGCTCCTGGCTTCTAATACAAAGAGGAAGGAGACCTCACCTTCAGGCATCAGGGTGTTGGAAGCGGGAAGTAGGTCCACGAGGGTGTCTTGCTTTTGTGCACTTATATGGGGTGCTATTTGCAGAGAAGCTCCTTACAGAGTGCCCAAGATGGATTTCTCTAAGTTGCTCTCAGAGTTGTCCAGCTGCCCTCACCAATAAGTCACAGTCTTTGCAGATGACAGAAACCACCAGTCAAAGCAGATGCATATGGATTGGGGGGAGCCTTCTTTAGTATCTAACATAGCTGGATCAAAACAAAAAAACTTAACCATTAAGCAAATCTCAACTTTAATCGTTAATTTAGATTATAGCAGATATCAATTAGGTGTTAAGCTTAAGAATCTACCCTGTGCAGGGCACTTAAACACTTACTAATGGGGATTTTGTGAGCTTGACTTAAGGCTGCAATGACACTTGCTGCTCTGCAGGAAATTAGTTCAATCTGTTAAAGATGTAAATAAGATCCAGAAAGGAAAATTGATCATTTAACTCATTCTTTAAGATTGCTAAGTAATACTTTCAGTGAGTGGCTTCTGTTGTTCAACAAGCTGTACTCTAGGAATGTATGTACAATTTTACTGCAATTTACAATCATGATTTAAATACATGTTCACTTCTTGCGTTTTCCAAAACACAATCAGATGCAACCAAATTAAATTAGTACCATTAATGTAGAAACTAAAAAGAAAAATTGCCTTAAGATAGCTAGCTAGCTACTGATGGAAATACAATGCATTTGCATTCAAATTCATTCTCTCTCGCTCTCTCATAGGGTTTCTTTCATGTAGTCTAGGCTGGGCTATGTAGCTGAGGATGACCTTCTGATCCTCCTGCCTCTATATCCTGGGTGCTGGGCTTACAAACACTCCATCTCTCTTTTATGCAATGCTGGGGATTGAACCCAGGGCTCCACACATGCTAGACAAGCACGCTGCCAACTGAGCTACATGCCCAACCATGTTATCTTTCCTGACTGATGCTCAAGAAACCAATCCCGGGTGGGGAGATGGCTCAGCGGATGAAGGTTCCTGCCATTAAGCCTGACAACCTGAGTTCAAACTCCAGGACCCAAACAGTAAAAAAAGAAAACTGACTCCTGAAAGTTGTTTCTGACCTCCATATCCAGACCCATGGCATAGCAGGAACCCCCACACAAACTAAATAAAATGTAACAACCACAACAGGCCAGTTCTAAATTCAAATGATACCTAAATAGGACTATTAAGCATTTATCTTTTGTGTCTTGTAAGAAATCATCCAGCAGATAGAAAACAAATCTTCACTAAACCAGAACTTCATTTTCCTTTAACATGAGGGCATCAAAAAGTGTGAGAATCCTGCTGGGCGTGGTGGTGCACGCCTGTAGTCCCAGCACTTGGGAGGCAGAGACAGGCGGATCTCTGTGAGTTCAAGGCCAGCCTGGTCTACATAGTGAGTTCAAGGACAGCTGGGATTACAGGGAGACCCTGTCTCAAAAAGACCAAAAAAAAAAAAGTGTGAGAATCAATGGCAGTTGAAGGATTCCAAAACAGATTTGTCTCTGAGGCATACTTCAGGATCAAAAATAATCAAAGAAATGAATATTTTAGGTGACCTTTCAACTAACTTTTTAAAAACTGATTTATGTGTTTGAGTGCAGAGTCTGCATATATGTAAGTGCACCCATGCATATAATGTTTGCAGAGGCCAAAAGAGGGCATCAGATCCCCTGGAACTGGAGTTTCAGATCGTTGTAGGTGCTGGGAATCAAATCTGGGTCCTCTGCCAGAGCAGCCAGTGAGTGCTAATAACTGCCAAGCCATCTTTGTAGTCCTTCAACTATATATTTATGTGTAAGAGTGTTTTTCTGCATGCAAGTACGCCACGTGTATGCAATACCCATAGAGGTCAGAAGAGGGCATTGGCTCCCCTGGAACTGTAGTTCCAGATGGTTGTCACTATGTGGGTGCTGGGAACCAAACCCAGATCCTTTGCAAGAGCAGCCAGTGCTCTTAACTGCTGAGTCATCTCTCCAGACTCTCAATTTCTTAAAATTGAATTTTATTAGTATGTATGTATGTGCATGTGTGTGTTAGAAATAAGTTTGTAAAGCAGGTTCTCTCCTTCCACCTTTATATGGTACATGAGTTCTGAGGATTAAACTCGGGTTGTCAGGGTTGCCCAAATGTCTTTATCCACTGAGCAATCTCCCTGGCCCCTTCAACTAACTACTGTGGTGGTTTTTGTTTGGCTTTTTTTGTTTGTTTGGAAACAGAGTCGTGTGTGTGTGTGTGTGTGTGTGTGTGTGTGTGCGCGCGCGCCTGAGGAAGTCTTGTGTGTGTGTGTGTGTGCGTGCGCGTGCCTGAGGAGGTGAAAAGAAAGAAGACACTGGATACTCTGAAGCTGGACGTGCACGTGCCTGAGGAGGTGAAAAGAAAGAAGACACTGGATACTCTGAAGCTGGAGTTACAAGTGGTTGTGAGCCACCCAACATGGATACTAGGAAACAAATTCAAGTACTTTGGAAGAGCAGCAAGAGTTCTTAACTGCTGAGCTTTCTCTTTAGCGCCTCAACTATTTTATTTATTTTTACTGTATGTTTTGCCTACAAGCATGTAAGTGGACCAGTGTTGTATGATGGCCAGAAGAGGACATCAGATCCCCTGGAACTGGAGTTAGGTTGTGTTGTAAGTTGCCATGTGGGTACTGGGAACTGAACTTGGGTCCACTGGAAGTGCTCTTAACCACTGAGTTATGTCTCCAGCCCCTCAACTAATTTTTTCTTAAATATTTTACTTATTATTTTTACTTTTTTATGAATGTATTGCCTGCATGTAAGTGTATCCGTGTCATGCAATACCCACAGAGGTCAGGAGGGAGGTAGATTCCCTGGAACTGGAGTATTGAACGGTGGATAGTTGCCATATGGGTGCTGGAACTGAACCCGGGTCCTCTCCAAGAGCAGCCAGTGCTCTTAACTGTTGAGCCATCTCTCCAGCCCCAACTAATTTTTTAAATTTGTTTTTATTAAATTTTGTTGTATTTCATACAGTATATTTCAAACAATCTGAATCATCTTTATAGCCCCGTCCAGCACCTTTCCATAGCCCCCTCACTGGAACTCATATACTCTGTTCTGGTTGTTAAGGCCCACTGTGTCAAGTCAGTGTCCCCAGATGTTCCCCATCCACTTGCAGTCTAGTCAGATCCCTCTCATCTATCCAAACACCTATCATTTCGTTCTTTCTTTTTTTAACAGAGTATAGGGTGGGGTTTATTTACAGAGGAATGCCCCCCCCCCATTTACGGCTGCACTGGAAAGTCCACACGCAAATACAGAGCCTGTGACTTCCCAACAGCTGCAGAAAATGGTGAGAGATGTGCCTCCAGGAGGTCTCACTTTAGCCCCTCCCCCATATGCAGCTAAGGTCCAATGATTGGGTGGGAGGTGTAACTGACTCCCTCTCTTCCTTGATGAGTTTAGGCAGGACGTGTGACTACAGCTTGCCAGCATAGTGGGAGGCATATACTTCCAGGTAACACTCTACCCCTTCCTTTGGCTCTTATAGTCATTCCACCAACCTTTTCCTCCGCAACTAATTTAAAAAAAAAAAAAAAAAAGTCTCATGCTGAGCATGGTGGCACACATCTTTAGTCCCAGCACTTGGGAGGCAGAGGCAGGGGATCTCTGAGTTCAAAAGATGAAAAAAAACAAAAAAACAAAAACAATCTCACTATGCAGCCCTAACTGGCCTGGAACTTGCTATGTAGACCAAGCTAGCCTCAACTTTAGAGATCTGCCTGCCTCTGCCTCCCCAGTGCTGAGATTAAAGGCATGTGCTACCATTCCCAGTTTTAGGTTTGTTGTTTCTTCTTTTCTCTTCCTCAACTAATTTTTTTTTGTCCTTTGTTTTTTATTTGTTTGTTTGTTTTGAGACAGGGTCTCCCTGTAGCCTCAGCTGTCCTAGAACTCACTATGTAGACCAGGCTGGCCTCGAACTCACAGAGATCCACCTGCCTCTGCCTCCCAGGTGCTGGGATTAAAGGCGTGTGCCACCATGCCCGGCATTTTTGTGTGTGTGTGTCTTTTTGAGACAGGGTCTCCCTGTAGTACCAGCTGACCTGGAACTCACTATGTAGAACAGGCTGGCCTTGAACTCACAGAGATTTGCCTGCCTCTGCCGCCTGAGTGCTGGAATTAAAGGCATGCACTACCACACCTGGCACTACAACTAATTTTTAATAATATATCTATTATACAAACCCCCCAAACTAAATTTTCAGATGTAGTTTTGGATATAACCACCACAAAATTTCCCATTCTTAAATCCTTTTTTCTATAAAACTCTTCTAACATAAAAAATATACTTGTTGGCTGGGTGTGGTGGTGCACGCCATTAATCCCAGCACTCGGGAGGCTGAGGTAGGCAGATCTCTGTGAGTTTGAGGCCAGCCTGGTCTACATAGTGGGTTCCAGGACAGCTGGGGCTACAAGGAGACCCTGTCTCAAAAAGAAAAAAAAAAAAAAAAAAAACCCAAAAGACAAGAACTTGTTATAAACAAAGCTAGCTTAAAATTAGTCCCTGTCATATAAAGACACAAAATACCTAGTAAAAGGGGGCCATGTGGTTCTTATCTTGGAAGTACTTTAACACACATGCATCACCATTTTATGGAGTGCTAATCAAATACTTGGAAGCATAAAACGGCAAAATTTTCACAACTATTATCTACAAGGAATGGATTCCAAAGTCTAGCACAAATGACTACACCACCATTTGCTAAAAGGATGACTTCAATTTCCCTTAATGCAAGGTGATTTAAGAGATTAGGAAAAATATCAAGAAAATAATACTTATAATACGCAGTTAAAGCATTGGCTGCTCTTGCAGAAGACCTGGGTTCAAAATCCAGCACCCATATGGTGGCTAACAACTGTCTATAACTTCCACTTCCAGGGCGTCTGAAGCCCTCTTCTGGACTCTATGGGCACTGCACACATGCAGGCACTCATATACATAAAATAAAAATAATGAAAAAAATTTTTAAAGAAAAAGAAAAGGAGGAAACCTTAAGTTCAATCTCCAGCACTGCAAAACAAAACAAAGTTTCAGACCAGAGAGATGGCTCACTGGGTTAAGGTGCTTGCCACCAAGCCTGATGACATGGTATCAGTCCTGACATGGTATCAATCCCCAGGACTCCTATGGTGGAGGGAGAACCAAGCGGGGCAGGTGACCACCCACACACATACAAAAGCATACCCCACTCACAAATATAATTTAAAACATTTAAATCCAAAGTTCCAACTAAGTTACATATTTGTAAATCAAGACCACACTGTTGTGTAACGAGATAACTCAAGCGACCTTCTTACCAAAAGCAACAAGGGTTGCAGAAAGAATTCCAATAAGACCAACATAATGCAGAACATATTGGAAAAGTTAATTTGAGTCACACTGCAATCAAGCTTAGATGATTTCAGATACCAGAGAATCCCTCAAAGAAACCGATATATTTTCTATAACCAATGTTCCCTAGTCCCATCTCATCTCCCAAAGGGTCTTCTGAGTGTCATGCAACAGCCGATTCGACTGCCAACAGCTGGTTCTGGTTCTTAGTTACTGAACTTGACGGAGGGTTGTTCAACCTCTGGTTCTGAAACCTCCACCAGTTGGGGATCCTTCTAAATATGCAACATCACTGAGGGGGCCCAATGGGGGATGATGATGGGCACTCAGTACAACAGGGAAAGGAAACCCAACATTCTGCTTGATAAGCGGAACCAATGACTGAGCTTTCTCCCACAGCACCTGCTTACTGTCCTTTGAAAAGGAAGACAGGGGCTTACACCTGGTCAGTATAGATTTTCAGGTTTCCATCTGACAATCTTTTATTGGATTTGGGGTTCCTTCTAATGCCATGTTCTGACTGGGATTCCATCACCGCGAGCGTCGCTGGCTCAGCCTGGATAGCACAAGCCCGCCATGTCTTTTGCATGTTTGACTGTTTAAGTGAATGCAAGCAAGGGTGGTGATCGGGGACAACAGGGCCTTTGGGACACAAAAAGCCTCCTGCACACACTGCAGGGTGTCTCCTCACATTCAAGTAGACAGTCATTTATAGGCAGGTCTAGGGCTGGCCCCTACACAATTCTCGGTCCTGTCGTGGATTTGTTATTGCCCCCAAAGAGCCTCGTACTGTGGTTTCACGGTCTGAGAACAGTGGGGCCTCAAAGGCCTAGCCTGGGAAGTGTGCACACGGGACCGGAGCTCCAGCCTTGCCAACTCCAAGGCTGGGACCGAGTTTCCCGCCCCGCGGCCCTACCAGAGGTTGGTGACAGTGGAAGGCAGCTGGGACCGGCCCCAGCAGGTTGGAACCGGTCTGGGCCCGGCCAGAGGAGGAAGGAGGGGTGGGGGAGGGAGAGGCCTCCTCGCGCTCTCCCTGCGCGCGTGACTCACGCTGGCCGCTGACGTCAGGCGTGCGCGCGCGGCGGGGGGGGGCTCTACGTACGTGTAGTGCTGCGGTTTCTCGGGCTGTGCCTGCAGCACCTGAGCGGTAGCGGCCGGGGGCGCCGAGGAAGCTGCCGAGCCGCCGGGCCCGGGGCCCTTCGACATGGTCCTGTCTTCCTGCCTCTTCGCCGCTCCCCTTTTATTATTCAGTCTGCGCGGTCCGCGCCGAAGACCCACAGCGCCTGCGCCGCGCCACGAGAACGTGAAGACCCCCCGCACAGCAGCAAGGATAGCTGGGAGTTGTAGTCTTCCATTCGGCTGAAGTTTTACGGTAGGTACAGGGTCGCTGCCAAGGCTCGAGACCACACTACCCAGGGATCTTTGCGCATGATGTCCCGGATGCTGACGGCCCGCGAAGGCTTTTGGGAATTGCAGTCCAGCCGCTGTTCTCTTACCAGGGCGTTCTCAGTTGGGTAGGAGAGTCCTTCCTTGAAACAAGAACCTGAAGAACACAAGGGGCCCAGAGGTGAGGAGCCCTGGAACGACTCCAGCCGAACAGTTCCACCGCCAACAGAACAATTACCTTGCCTCCTTCCTAGTACAGTTTGCCCACAGTTTCTAATGTCAACTCAGAACAGTGCCTCCAAGCAAACTAGTCGGCCAAGGCCAACATCCTCTTGAGATGGTACTAATCGGAAAGGCACGAGGGAAAGTACGCCTTCTGGAAGTCAGCTTTAGAAAGCTTTGTTAAAGAAGAGCTACACTAGGGCTGGGTGTGATGGTGCACATCTGCGCCCGGAACTTGAGCAGCACAGGCCGGAGGATCTCTGAGTTGAAGGCAGGTCTACATAGAAGTTAGGGACCAGCCAGGAACTACAAATGAGACCCTGTCTCACTACACCACACTGTTGCCCAGGCGCATCATTAACTTTTACCCACTCTGAAACCTGGAACTCCTCCACTTGGGTCACTTCTCAACTCTATGGTTAGCACAAACAACTTGTTTCCAGTACGTTAAGGTACAAGGACTAACTTAATGTCTGTCTAGAATTGTCTCGTGTACACTGGCAAATTGCAGGGATGTTGAGAAATAATCCAGTGGACTCCATAGGAAGGGGTTTGAAGAGAGGATAAGTTATAATCCACTCTGTTCCCCATTTCTGGGAAAATATTTTCTTCACCTCACACGAATCAGGCAAAATTGTTCTCTTTGAAAAATAAGCTAGTTTGCTGAGCATGATGGAGCGTGCCTTTAATCCCACCACTCGGAGGCAGAGGCAGACGGATCTCTGAGTTCAAGGCCAGCCTGGTCTACATAGTGAGTTCCAGGACAGCTGGGGCTACAAGGAGACCCTGTCTCAAAAAGACGAAAAAATAAAATAAAGAAAAATAAGCCAGCTGTCCCAGACTTAGGCATTTGGTTTTTATGAACTTTAAATTGGTCTCTACAGGCTGGATGTGGTGGGACCTGCCTTGAAGAGTCTGAGGCAGGAAAATAAGTTCCAGGCCAACCTGAGCTACACAGTGAGACCCTACCTCAAAAGACAAGACTAGAGGAGCTGGAGAGATGGATCAGCAGTTAAGAGTACTGGCTGCTCTTGCAGAGGACCCAGGTTCAATTCCCAGCACCCACATGGTGGCTAAGAATCGTCCTTCAGTTCCAGTTCCAGGGGAATCTGACGTGCCTCCCCAGGCATTGCACGACACAGGTGCACTTACATACGTGCAGGCAATACACTCATACACATAAAATAAAAATAAATTGCTGGGTGTGGTGGCGCATGCCTGTAGTCCCAGCACTTGGGAGGCAGAGGCAGGCAAATCTCTGTGAGTTCAAGGCCAGCCTGGTCTACAAAGTCAGTTCCAGGACAGCTGGGGCTACAGGGAGACCCTGCTTCAAAAAGACAAATAAATAAATAAATAAACAAACAAACAAACAGGAATAGAGATGGCAACATGGACTCAGGGGGTGTCTGCTCTGCAAGCCTGGCAACCTGAGTTTCATCCCTGGAACGGATATAAAGGTGGAAGGAGAGAACCAACTCCATAAAATTGTCCTTTGATTTCCACAGCATACATATCATACACACACACACACACACACACACACGGTAATTTCAGTAATACATAAATAAAAACATTCTTCACAATATAGGTAACATTTGTCATGTGACTTTTCTATAGTCAATCTATTTCAAATTACTATTTTTTATTTTTTTTTTGAGACAGGGTCTAACTCTGTAGCCCTGGCTGACCTGGAACTCAGTATGTAGTCTAGGCTGGTTTCAAATTTACAGAGATGCCTCCCAAGTTCTGAGATTAAAAGCATGTGCCACACCTTTAATGCTTTATAGGAGTTTAGTTGATAAAAGAATTTGTGAGAAAATTGCTCGTTTTCAAAATCGATTTACATTTTGTTAGATGAGATTATGTTAACTAATAATTGTCTCATTAAAGAAACACATGTGGGATGGAATGTAGCTTAGTAGAGTGCTTGCATGAAGCCCTGAGTTCAGTCTAAAGCAGTATAAAACCTGAGGTGGCTGAGTTCAATCCCAAACTGTATGTAAAACCTGAGGTGGCACAAAAGTATCTGTAATCCCAGTATTCAGGCAGAAGGATCCGGAGTTCAAGGTCATTTCAGCTACACAGTGAGTTCAAGGCTAGCCTGAGTTATACAGCAGACTCTATTTTGAAGGGAAAAAAAGGAAAATGGGCCATCAAGGTGGCTCATAGTTGAAGGTGCTTGCTGCCAAGCCTAATGACCTGAGCTGGATTCCCAGGATCCACATAGTGGGAGGAAAGAATTGACTTCTGTAAGTTGTCCTCTAACCTACATATTTGGGCCATGGCACAGATAAATAAAATGTAGTGATAAAAAAGAACCCTGTTAAAAAAGAAATAAAAACGGGTTTTGAATAACCTTCAGGGTGAGGGAGGGTGGGGCAAATGGCAAATTGGTAGTGTTCAAAACTGACAACTACTTTTTTAAAAAATTTTTTTATTATTTTTATTTTTTATGTGTATGAGTGTATTGCCTGCATGTATGTGAGTACACCCGTGTCGTGTAATGCCGTGGAGGTCAGAAGAGGGCATTGGATTCCCCTGGAACTGGAGTTAAGGACAGTTTGTAGCCACCATGTGGGTGCTGGGAATTGAACCCAAGTCCTCTGTAAGAGCAGTCGGTGCTCTTAACAGCTGAGCCATCTCTTAACCCTGGTTTCCTTCTTTTTAAAGCATGGATATGGATCAGTAAGATGGCTCAGTGGGTAAAGGTACTCACTACTAAATCTGACCTCTTCAGTTTGAATCCTGGGACTACTGGTATTTCTTTCCTAAAAAAATTGAATCAATTGCTTATCCACCAGAGCGGTTTGAAGATAAAAAATCCAAATGGACAAATAAAAATGATAAATTTCTTTAATCCTATAATTAAATCCAAATAATCGGTTTATATATTGTCTGTGAAATACTCGAGTGTGCTGTGCCTGCAGAAATTCCAGTTCACACCATTAAATTTTTAATCATAAGGGTATAACATGACCCAAGAATAAACACATCCTGTAAAATTATGAAATGATATCATGCAAATTGCTTAATTTACTAAAGAGGAAATCGAAACCCAGAGAAGTTAGGTAACTTGCAGAAAGTTACTCAGCAAGTTAATGGTGAAGAGGAACTAGGATGCCACCGACAAGCTACACTGTTTACTGTTGTTTTGACCACAGTGCAGTGTTCCAACTGAACTCAAGGTCTCAACTCATCATGTCAGGCAAGTACTCTGCTAGAGTCCCAGCCAGCTTTGCTTCTATTTTGATTGTATTGTACTTTGAGTCCTTCCCCATTTCCTGTTTTGTTTTTCCTCCCACTTGCCAATTTAGGAAAAAGCAAAGCCTGCCTGACTATCCAGTAAGAGGGACAAACTATGGCACTAATCACCCTGGATGAATGTACAATGTACAATCTACATCTTGTTTTCTCCTAGAGCAGGTTTTTTTTTCTAATGAGGAGCAGAACTGGGAGAAAAATACCTGGATTGATAGTGTAATTCCAGTTCTCAGGCAGAAGCAGGAAGATCACCACAAATTGCAGGCCAACCTAGACTTAAGCGCTGCAACCCTCTCTCAAAATACAAGACACTGCTGGGCATAGTACCTCATAACGTTAATTCCAGCACTCAAGGCAGAGGCAGGAAAATGAGGAGCTCGAGGTCAGTCTTGAGCTCCAACACATGGTAAATTGGAGACCATCATGGGCTACATGAGATTTTATCTCAAACAACAACAGATTAGGTCTGTATTGTACATGGAAAGATTAAGAGGGCTGGCCAGAACCAAGCCAAGTGTGGTAGCGAACACCTGCAATCTCAGCACTCAGGAGACTGAGGCAGGAGGATAGCCACAAGATTGAGACCTGCCTGGACTACATAATGATGGCTAGGCCAGCCTGGGCTCCAGAATGTATTAAAGAGGGTGGAGTGGTATAGTGTCACACACCTGTAATCCCCAATGCTCTGGAGGTGAAAGCTGGAGAATCTTAAATTCAGTACCCATCTCAGCAACATAGAGTGTTCCAGGCCAATGTGAACTACCTACCTCAAAAATTCAAGGGCTGAGGATGTAGCTCAGTGGTAGGGTGCTTGCCTAGCAAGGGCCAAGTCCCTGATCCCCATCATCACAAAACTAACAAACTAATAATTTAAAACTTTGAGAGGGACTGGGGAGATGGCTCAGAGGTTAAGAACACTGAATGTTCTTAGAAAAGGCCCAGGTTCAAATCCCAGCACACATATGGTAGCTAACAACTGTCTGTAACTCCAGTCCCAGGGGATCTGACTGCCTCTTCTGTCCTCCTCAGTCGTTGAATGACATGGGTGTACTTACCTACATGCAGGCAATACACGCATACACATAAAAATATAAAAATAAGCCGGGCGTGGTGGCGCACGCCTTTAATCCCAGCACTTGGGAGACAGAGGCAGGTGGATCTCTGTGAGTTCAAGGCCAGCCTGGTCTACAGAGTGAGTTCCAGGACAGCTGGGGCTACAGGGAGACCCTGTCTCAAAAAGACATATATATAATAAAGTATTTTTTAAAAAACTTTGAGAGGAATTGTCATACCAAAGATTGAGTCACTTTCCCCACTGCAGATACTGCTGCAAACTGACCTTTGAGCCAGATGTGATAGTGTAGACTCTGTTCACTCACCTAACTAATCCTTTCATTGAGATCTATATGTCAAATATTCAGTTACTTTCTACTGAAAAAAGGTAATGCAAAAACTGACTGTCGTTCATCCCAGTAATTTCAGAAACTAAAAAGAGAGGCATTTTATAGTGACTATCATAACAATTACAGATTCATGGAAGACAAGTTCTCCATTGTTTATATAGGAAAGCTATGACAGGCAGGTTGGTTTTAGCTTTAGCTAAAATCCACCTTCTGGAGTCATTGTTTACAAATTTCAGGTGTCTCTGCTTATGGTGGAGCATACCTATGTCCAAGCCCTTGGACAGCTGAGGCAGGAAGATCAGGAGTATGAGGCCAATTTCTGCTGCACCTGGAGACTTTGTCTCAAAACCAAAAAATTGGTTTCAACTGGATGTGGTGGCACACACCTGTAATTCTATTACTTTAGAGGGCAAGGCAGGAGGATGGAATATTCCAGGCAGTCTGTCTCAATTTTCTGGCGTTGACTAGTCTTAACCTTAAGCTTGGTTTGGTGTTTTATATATTTGAATATAAAGACCTGAATACTGCAGTACACCCAGGATAGTTATTTAAACAAGAGTAAAGAGTAGTATTTTTGCATCTCTCAGGTTTCTTCTTCAGGCCATCGAGTATTACAAAAGGATACCTATTTCATTTAATGATGTTTTCTTTATTCTCTATTCTTTATGGACATACAAATGCTCATTTCATTCACCTGGATTACATAATTCAAAATATATGCTGCCAGGTAAATTACTTATTAATTCTAAGCAGATTGAAATAAAAAATATTTCGTGACAGACGATATTAAACACGCAACAAAAACCCAACAACCCGGGAACTGGAACTCACTATGTAGACCAGGCTGGCCTCGAACTCAGATATCAGACTGCCTCTGCCGCCACACCCGGCTCTAAAATCATTTTTTGGCGTGTTGTGTTACTTTGTATCTATTACCCTTCTCTACCAAACAAAGAATTGTTTTTTGGTTTAAAATACGTATGCGTGATACACGTAACATTGTAACATGCTTCTGCTGGCTCACAGTTCTCCCAATGATCAAAATGTAGCAAAAAGTAAATAATCCAGGGAACACATTTTATTCTCCATTGGAACTTTTTTTTTTTTTTTAACTAAATCTCCTTAAAGTCTCGTGATGCAAACAATTTTATTCTCTTGCCCATTTGGACTTTGTTTAATCCTGATAGGAACCAATACAATTCATTTGCATTGACTTACCATTGTAGAGCTTTGGAACCAAGGGAAGGATCCAAACAGAGCTCCATTTTATCCAATCAGAAGAGCCGCTTAATGCTAAACGCTGATTCGTCTATTCCTCTGTGCATCCATCCAATCCTCGGGCAACTTTAACAACCAATCAGTGGCCTGAACATCCGCCAATCAGGAGCCGGGCCCGGAGCACGGCCTTTGTGTCGGGAGATGTCAGCGCGTCGGCGAGAGCTCCCACCAATGGGAGAAGTCGTTGGTATATGCAAATAAGGGCTCTATGACGCAGTGACGCTGCGTGAAGCGTGTGTATAAAAATGGAGGCGTCGGGGGTTTGGAGCGCAGAGCGGTTTGTCGGTTCGCTGGGAGGGTCTCGGTGCTTTGTGCTCGGCGCCTGCGGCTCTTCTTTAGGCACCAACAGCGGCGCGGTAGTCAGAACACGGGCCTCGGACTAAGGCTTTGGGTGAGTGTGGGACGGCCTACCGCTCGTCCGGGCTCCGAAGCCACTGGGCCCGCGGCCATTGGGACCCGGCAGCCCGGGGGGGCGGGGGGGGCTGACGTCAGCCGGGGGGGGCGCGCGGTGTCGCCCGGAGGTCCCGGCTGCGGCTGTTCCGCGGTGACTGCGGCCCGGACGGCCGGGGGACGCTCCGCCGCGCCGCGGGAGGGAAGAGGCCCCTCCCCGCGCGGCCCCTCCCGAGGGAGGCCACCGTTCGGCGCAGCCTGAGTCATTAGGGGAGGGGGAGGAGGCGGTGCCGCCCGGCCATCTGCCGCCGCGAGGTGGGGCGCCCGGCGGTGCTCCCGGGGAGCGGGCGGAGGGCCCGGGACTGACCGCGCCTCTCCCGTAGGCGAGACGACATGGCCCGAACCAAGCAGACAGCTCGTAAGTCCACCGGCGGGAAGGCGCCCCGGAAGCAGCTGGCCACGAAGGCCGCGCGGAAGAGCGCCCCCTCTACCGGCGGGGTGAAGAAGCCGCACCGCTACAGGTAGGCCGGGGACGGGAACAATGCGCGGCGGCCGGCGGCGCCCGCCTGCCCCCCCCTCCCGCCCTCACCCTGCTTGCCCGATCGCCGCCCGCAGGCCCGGGACCGTGGCTCTGCGGGAGATCCGTCGTTACCAGAAGTCGACGGAGCTGCTGATCCGGAAGCTGCCTTTCCAGAGGTTGGTGCGAGAGATCGCGCAGGACTTCAAAACCGACCTGAGGTTTCAGAGCGCGGCCATTGGCGCGCTGCAGGTACGCGGGGACAAGGGCTGGGGCGGCGAGGGGTGCCTCCCTGAAGGGAGGGGTTCATGGTGTGGCTCTTGTCCTCCGCAGGAGGCCAGTGAGGCGTACCTGGTGGGTCTGTTCGAAGATACTAATCTGTGTGCCATCCACGCCAAGAGAGTCACCATCATGCCCAAAGACATCCAGTTGGCTCGCCGGATACGGGGAGAGAGAGCTTAAGTGAAGGCAGTTTTTATGGCGTTTTGTAGTAAATCCTGTAAAATACTTTGGTTTAATTTGTGACTTTTTTTGTAAGAAATTGTTTATAATATGTTGCATTTGTACTTAAGTCATTCCATCTTTCACTCAGGATGAATGCGAAAAGTGACTGTTCACAGACCTCAGTGATGTGCGCACTGTGGCTCAGGAGTAACAAGTTGCTAATCTGCAGAAGGGATGGGTGATACTTCTTGCTTCTCATGACGCATGTTTCTGTATGTTAATGACTTGGGTAGCTATTAAGGTACTAGAACTGATAAATGTGTACAGGGTCCTTTTGCAATAAAACTGGTTATGACTTGATCCAAGTGTTTAACAATTGGGGCTGTTAAGTCTGACCATACATCACTGTGATAGAATGTGGGCTTTTCAAGGGTTGAAGATCCAAGTTTTAAACCACAGTGTAACTGTTTCCTAAAAAAAAAAAAAAAGAAAGAAAACCTGGCAGCTATAGAATACACTATGTGCATTTATGATAGCTATTTTATATATTGTAGCGTCAGCATTTTTAAATTAAATGTTTTACATTCACAAGTGGTGGGGAGTCTTGTCATTAAGGTGTGTGTAATTTAGTCCAGTTGGTTTTCTTCCTACTAGACTGCAGTTGTTTTTGTAGTAGAGAAATGCTATGCGCGTTAAACCCTGCGGAAGTCCTCATTCTACCACATGTCAACTAACCCTCTAGCTGATGATGCCTACACTAACGGGGATTTTATTTATAAGGGCTCTAGGATAAATAACAAGTTATTCACACCAGCATCTGTTACTAATCTAGTGAGTGCAGCTTTTCATTGTGTTGTTTGGTCTTACATAACTAGGTTGAGTTACTGGGGAGTTTTTTGGTGTTTTTTTTGTTTTTTTTTTTTTCTTTCAGAGGAAACAAGGTTGGGTTTTTTTCTTGTGAAATTTAATGTATATTTGTGTGGGGGAGGAAGGAGCACAGCTCCAGCTAATTGGACCTCTGCCAATTATGATGGGTTATAATTACATCTGGTGACTGTCCTGGGAAAGTCCCTTTTATAGAGATGGCCTTCCAAGGGGTTTTTAAATTTATCCTATTGAAGTTTCTAGGTCAATTATGTATGTTGACTAAATTTACAAATAAAACTTGTTTATTCAACTTAAGTGTCAAAAACCTAAATTGAGTATGCAAAGCTTTCAACACATTGATTATAATCTAGGTTCAAATACGTTAATGTTTGGGCTTAATTTCAGTTTTGCTTGAATGGGAACTATTTACAGTAATTGCAGAAAGCAGGGAAAGAGTCCAATATTCTATAGACTCGAGGATGGCCTGGGGAAAGACCATGACACAGTATGGCATGGGCTCATAACAAAGCATGGTTAGAGATCCACATGGTGTTAAAAATGTTAAATTGCTTGTATTATGGAAAAAGCATTGAAAGTTTTAGGACTGGACTTTGTGGATCTTTGAAGCAGGCTTAGAATTAATAAACTGGTAGGTGTGAAATTTTTTTTTAACTTGACCTTTCATGTGTATGTGTATTGGTCAATTTTACCTCTTGTTACCTTGTCCCACTCTGCTTGAATGAGTAATTTCTTCCCCATTGAATGAATAATTTCTTCCCCAGAAAGTCTAGCTCCTATTTTCTGACTTCGTTGCTGCCTTTCATCATGTGACCAGTTCTTACTAATGAGTGCTGATGAGCTCAGGGTAAGAATGTTAGAGTGGGACAGGAGCCACCAGTCATGCATTTCAGTGAGGCAGAGGGAAATTGCCTTTGGGTTTGGGTTTGGTTTGGTTTTTAGGATTGTTCTGATTGTGTTAAGATTGGACATCAGAATAGCCTGAATCTGATGCTCCTGATTCAGCTGGGATTATAGATGTGTTGCTAAACTGATTTTTTAAAAATCTCTTTGGATTAACAAATTCCAGGTGCCCAAGATAAAGGAATAGGTGACCTGAAGAGTATGTAAGAATCAAAGGTGCAGAGCAATCTGGGGATGGTTTTCTAGGTGATCTGTTAGTGCTTCTCGAACTAGCACATTCAGCCATTCTGACAGGAGTCAGAGTGCAGTAGAGAGGTTTTCCTACCTGTAGTACCTCAAGGCTCTGGTCTCAGTTCTTGTGTTCCTGAATGAGACATGTTAGCCTGGGCCATGGAAAAAGCCAGAGTGCAGTAGAGAGGTTTTCCTACCTGTAGTACCTCAAGGCTCTGGTCTGCAGCCTAATGTGGAAGGTTCTTTAGCCTGGGAGCCCAAATAAATAGCACAACTTGGGCTCACAGGCTTTGAAAAGCATGTGCTGTGGTTTCTAGGCAGGATTGGGTAAGGACTTGAACTGGAAAGCCAAAGTTGGAGCTGATGACAAGTTCCTGTGATGGATGAAACAAAAAGCTTTGATGGAGTTACTTTTCTCTGTTTAAAAAATGGTTTCATAAGATGCTTAGAGGTTTGTTGGGGGAGCTGGGGTCTTTTGAGACTGGGTCTCTGTAGATAAGACTGAACTTTCAGATCCACCTGCCTCTGCCTCCTGAGTGCTTGGGACTAAAGGCATGGGCCACCACACTGGGCTTTAGGGAGGCTTTTTAAAACTTTTGGTGCTGGGCTTTGCTAGATAAGCACTACCACTGAGCTATTATCCCAGGAGAGAGCAGCCTGCCCTCTGACAGACACAGCAGGGGAGGGATCAGGTTTCAGGGTATCCTCAGTTTACCTGTAAAATTGGTACAGAATGCCAGCCCTGGTGGCACACAACCTTTAATCCCAGCACTTGGGAGGCAGAGGCAGGCTGGGTCTACATAGTGAGTTCCAGGTAAGCTGGGGCTACAGGGAAGACCCTGTCACAAAAAGACCCCCCCCCGGAAAAAAAAAAAAAAAACTGGCACAGAAATAGTGCCTGTAATAATACTCTGACCTGCCTGGATTTAGCAAATCATTGTGTTTAGGACCCAGTGAAGTGAGTGTGTAGGGGACAAATGTTGGGCAAATAAGCTAGCCCCTCTAGAAAAAGGTTTTGTAAAATTAGTGCCTTACTGTAACCTGGTCCATCCATGTACAGACCTGTGAAAAGGGTGGTTTTACCTAGAAATGAGGCCGTCTGCTGTCTACCAGTGCTATAAATGTTTAACATAAGAGGGAAAGGAATGCAGAAGAAATAGGGAGGGTGCAATGCAGATGTCTTCCATCCACCTTAGGAAGGTTAGTACAAGCCAGGGTAGCACTCCAGGACAAGGGGATGGCTTGGTTCAAAACCTCTGGTACATTGAGTCCTCTCAAACTTAACCTGATTTTCCAGTGGTCCGGCCTAGAAACAATGTGCCAGAGGTAGGGCAGGAACAAAAGTGGCCAACAGTGGTGGTCTTCCTGGTTCCCTCGATTCCTTGAAAATGCTTCCTGCCTGGCACCAGGCATCCGGGCTTGTGTCTTAAGTATCTGGGATCATGGTCCTGCAGAGCTGTAGATGAACAAACATGATGTAGAAAACAGGTGTCTTCTATTAGACCAGAAAGGAACCCCAGGGCTGGGTCTTGAGGGTCTGTCTAAGGCCTATTAGATCTAGCTACCACAGAGGAAGACCACTAGAATGAAAGAAGGGGGAGGCCGCAAGGGCCTAAGTAATGTGTAGAGGGGATTTACCTGTGTCTCAGGGAAGTGAACTGTTAATGAAGTATTCTCCGAGGGAAAGGGATGGCAAGGTAGGGTAGGAACGGAGTACCCAAAGTGGGGTCTCAGGGTTCTCATGCCCCAGGGCTGTTTCCACCCGCCCTCTGGGCATTCTTGAGAGAAGTCACCAACCTGAACTACATCTGGCTGGACTTAAGTCAGCATAAAGCGAACTTCCAGCTGCCTTCCTAAGAGCAAAGTTAGAAAGAAAAAGCCAACCCAAATCCTGCAGGGACCCTGGACCTGGTGGCCGGTGTTATCAGCATAAAGCGAACTTCCAGCTGCCTTCCTAAGAGCAAAGTTAGAAAAAGCCAACCCAAATCCTGCAGGGACCCTGGACCTGGTGGCCGGTGTTTTCGCTCTTCAGCAGGTCTGTGGAATCGCTGCAGGCCTGGGTGGGTGTTGCTTGAATGGCTTTGAGGTTATGTACTTGGGCTGTTTTGTAAGGAGAGGTCAAAAGATTGTGCCCTCCTTACTGCTGCCTGCCCAACAGGCTCCAGAAATTCCCACCCAAGTACTAGCACAGGTCCAAGGAAAGAGCCTCAAAAATTGATTGGATTCAGTGAGGTTGAACTTTAGGACTTAAAAGGCCCAGGTGATTTGGGAAGGGGAACGGTGGGGGTGGGGGTGGGGTGAACTAAGGTCTGAGACCTTGCAATTGCCAGCTCTCCTTCAGGATGCTGCAGTGCTAGGAGTACACACAGGAGTGGTGAGTGCCAGAGGAAGGCCCAGCTCAGATACCGACCAACAAGAGAACAGCTGTGGGAGGAAGAAATGAGTGGGCTGCTGCCTTGGGTCAGGAAGCCTGCTGCCTTTTGCTGAGGGCTGTGGGAGGGCTACGCAGGTCTCTGGTGGTGGTGGTACTTGAGGTCTCTGCCCCCCCCCCCCGCAACTTTTAGCAGACATACTAGACAACCATAAGCTCCTTACCTACCTAGCACTGAGCCTCAAGAAGAAAGGAAACAGAATGAACTTGGGCCCAAGGCACAGGCATCATAGGCTAGTGTCCTTTTGCAGCCTCTGTGCTCTAGCTTCCTGCTTTCAGGGAGTCTCTTCTACCTTCAGTGACCTAAGGGCTCTGGCTCAGCAGCTGCAGTGCCAGGCTGCAGCTTCTGGCTAGTGGGAGGTGCCAGAAGGGATGGATCCAACCCCTGAGCTCTCAACCACATACTGGTCTGGACTTCTCCCTGTCCATCAGCAGGGTGCTCATTGGCCTGGAAAGGCAGGAGAATTTACAGATAGAGCACAGCCAAACTACACTTGGGGCTGATTTCTTGAGCAGGGACTTCAGAGGCATGACTGACTAGAGTCGTGCCTGGCACTTAGCAGAGGCTTAGGCATGTTTGCTAACAAAACCAAATGGTCCTGGCAGCTGTGTAGCACAGTTGACTTTGCTTCTGGCATAGGTAGGTGAGGTAGAATCAGTCTGATTCTCAGAGCTTTGTGTTCCAAATGACGTCCAGGGAGGATCTGGTGCTCCAGTGGTCTGGAGATGGCTGTACCTCCTGTTCCGCACAGAAGAAAGACTGGGCTTTGCATCTTTTTTTTTTTTTTTTTTTTTTTTTTTTTTTTTTTTTTACAAAAAATAGTGTTAATTTTATTTGTATGAGTATATTGCCTGCATGTAGACAGATACAACTGTGTCATGCAGTGCCCACAGAGGTCAGAAAAGGGCGTTGGAGTTCCCTGGACCTGGAGTTATGGACAACCGTTAGCCA